TCTGTAAACCGTATAAAAATTTTTGTTGTGTTTTTTTTTTTTTGGATCTGATTATGTTAATCATTTCTATCCTCACAGATATGGGAAAATTGTGTCTACTAAGGCCATCCTGGACAAGAACACAAACCAGTGCAAAGGTAAACACCTGTTTTTATGTTTTTATTATATAATATTAAATTGCTTATGTGGTAATTGCACTAGTGAAGCGGACTAGTACATCTACATGTTTTCTGGTTGTTTTAGCTTTAATATAGGGATGGGCATTTTTCAAAAATATTGTATTCAAAAATTTGGGCTCATAAAAAAACGAATATTCGAATATTCATATATTTAAATTATGTTTAACGAGAAAGACGTTATTTTTTAGTAATCAGGTTTTTGACACCATTTCTGAACAAGCTTATGATTAGGAATTATACACAACAATGTTCTACAACAACGTTACATTATATTTCAAGGTTTTCTTTTAGTTGAAAACGTGTGTAAACAAAACAAATATCTCAACTGTTAATCATTTTGAAACATTTGAAGCATACAGGGTTAATAGCTATGATACTGTTTTTGAAATCAAAGCTTTGCATAGTTATGACAGGAAACACTGGAATCTAACGATGCTTTGGAAAAAACAGTTAATCTTAAAAAATAGAGCATATATATATAAACCAAATGGGAAATAAAAAAGTGTCTCTTAAACTCCTGAAGCATTGATGTCTCATATTTTAGAGCATTCAATGCAATTGATAAAAGAATTCAATTAAATCTGTATGTGGGAGTGTGTGTAAATATTCAGATGTAACCCTCTTTGTAATCTTTAACATTTGCATAAGTAACTGTAATTTAATTACACATTTTTTCTCAGTAACTGTAACGGATTACAGTTACATTTATTTTGTAATTAAATTACATAATACCATTACATGTAACTAGTTACTCCCCAACACTGTTCATCACCTTCAGTGGCGCATTTCATGATCGTCTGTAGGTCTCACTTATGTGTAGATGTTTATGAGTTGATCATCTGTCAGTTACGCTATTGAAGAGATGTTTTATCTGTTTCTTCAGCATCTCGCATCGTGAATTGAGTTTTTATGATGTTGTGCTCTTGTTTGAACACGTCCTGTGTAAATCAGGGTTATTATAGTTAACTAAAACCATAAAAAACATTGCTACTCAAAATAAAATAAACTTCTAATAATAAACTAATCTTCACTCAGAAATTACTAGTCAATTTCACAAATAATTATAAAGAAATGGCAAGTAGCTTACTGAATTAAACATAATATTTTGAAGTATAAAAGACTAAAATGGAATTTTCTTCCTAAAATCTTCCTAAAAACAAGGTGAAAATGTATGCCATTAAAATGCACATGCATCACAACTCCAAATAACCCGTGTTTCAGCATTCCTGTTTTAGCCCTTCTACAAATCATGTTATCAATTGTTTCACTGATTTTTTTCCCCAGTGTGTCTCTGAGGAAGGATTTGAGGATTTGATCTGTGAAGAGGGTCTTATAACCTATTTCTCCTCTA